ATATCGTAAAGGGAATCAATAGATTAGATGAAGCAGAGAATCCAATCAGCAATTTGAAAGATAAGGTAGCAGAAAACACCCAAATGGAACAATAAAAAGAAAAGAATTCCAAAAAAGGGGAAAAAAAAAGAAAAGAATTAAAAATAATTAGGATAGTTTAAGATATCTATGGGACACCATCAAGCATACCAATGTTCTCATCATAGGGGTATCAGAACAAGAGAGAAAGAGAGAGAGCAAAGAATTGAAAATCTATTTGAAGAAATAATGAGAAAACTTCCCTAACCTGGTAAAGGAAATAGATAGAAAAGTCTAGGAAGCACAGAGAGTCCCAAACAAGGTGAGCCCAAAGAGGCCCACAGTAAGACACATCATAGTTAAAAAGTGAAAGGTTAAAGACAGGCAGAAAATCTTAAAAGTAGCAAGAGAAAAGCAGTTAGTTACTTACAAGGATAAATGTCAGCTGATTTCTCAATAGAAACTTTGCAGGCCACAAGGGATTGGCAGGCAATATTCAAAGTGATGAAAAGTAAGGACCTACAACCAAGATTACCTAGTAAAGCTATCATTTAGAATCAAAAGACAGATAAAGAGCTTCTCAAACAAGAAAAGCTAAAGGAGTTCATCAACACCAAACCAGTATTGGAAAGGTAGAGGGAATTCTTTAAGATAAAGGGGGAAAAAAAGATAAAAATTATGAGTAATAAAATGGCAATAACTACATACTTATTAACAATTACTTTCAATGTAAATGGATTAAATGCTCCAATCAAAAGACAGGGTGGCCGAATGAATAAGAAAACCAGACTCTTGCCAGCGACAGCGTAGGTTGCAACCCCTGCTGCAGTGGGTTGCCATGGGCTACCGTGTGTAGCCAGCAGCCAGCGTGAGCAGCCAGCAGCCACAGTGAGTGGCTGTCCAGAAGCCGGCAACTGATCTGCCTCGCCCGGGAAGAGCGCAATGATGGTGCCAACTTGGGCCAGTGAAGCAATGTCCTCCACAACTAGAATGAAGAAAAAAATGACAGCAACTTGTCTGTTTCCCTTCCCCCAATTCCCCAGCACTGTTTCCATCCCCTAATTCCCCAATAAAAATCTTTAAAAAAAAAAAAAGAAAACCAGACTCTTACATATGCTGCCTACAAGAGACTCACTTCAGATTTAAAGACACACATAGATTGAAAGTGATGGGATGGAAAAAGACATTTCATGAAAATGAAAAAAAAAATGAAGTAACAATACTTATTATACCAGACAAAACAGACTTTAAAACAAAGACTATAGGGCTGACCGTGTGGTTCAGTTGGTTAAGAGTTAACTTAAGAGTATGAGCTCTGAGCAACAGGGCCGCTGGTTCAATTCCCACATGGGTCAGTGACACTGCACCCAAGATGAGCGGCTGTTGAGCTGCCAACAGGTGGCAGGATGGCTCAGCTGGTGAGAGCATGTACTCCTAACCACAAGACTACCTGTTTGATGGTGGGCTATGCCCGCCCACCCGCAACTAAGACTGAACTCAGCACCTTGAGCTGAACTGCCATCCGGATGGCTCAGTGGGTAGAGCATGCACTCTCAACAACAAGGCTACTGGTTCAACTCCCGAATAAGATGGTGGCTACGCCCACCCACAACTAAGACTGTAACACAGCACCTTGAGCTTAGAGGCCACAAGCTGCCGGCGGGCAACCAGATGGCAACTGGTGCCCTTCACAATTATGATTGAAGAACAACAACTTGGCTAGTCCCCCTCCCCAATTCCCCAACACTGTTCCCCTCCCCCATTCCCCAATTAAAAAAAAATCAAAAACAAAGGCTACAAGAGACAAAGAAGGACCCAGTAATCCTACTTCTGGGTATTTATCTGAAGAAACCCAAAATGCTACTTTGAGGGAACATGTGCGTTCATATGTCATTGAAGCATGATTTACAATAGCCAAGATGTGGAGGCAGACCTTTTTTTTACTCTGTATACCCACAATAAGGAAAAGGTCAGGAACCTGACAGACCACACATGTCAGGAATACCAATACCCAAGATAGCTAACTTAGTGCCTACCTTATTTTCTTTAACTTCATCTTCCTTGATGAAACAGACTGACTATTTTTTAAAGGGTCGATAATGTTAAAGGTATAAATTTGTTTCACTTTTCTTTAAATAAAAATCATCTCACTAAGGGAAAAAAAGAAAATGACAAAGAAGGAAACTACAGGTAACAATGTAGAGTGAAAAACAAAAACCCAAAATATTATATATATCTGTTTATATACCTAGAGAAACATAAGTAAATTAATGAAATTCTTTATAGCTATTAAAAATAATGATGTGCTATTTGTGACAACATGGATGGATCTTGAGATTATTATACTAAGCAAAATAAGTCAGACAGAAAAAGTCGAGAATCATATGATTTCACTGATATGTGGGATATAAAACTGAAAACAACAAAGGAAGACAAACAAATAAAGAAATAAAAACTCATAGACACAGACAATAGTTCAGTGGTTACCAGAAAGTAAGGGGAAAGGCGAAAAAGTAAGGGGTGGTAAATGAGGGTAAAAGGGATCAAATATATGGTAATGGAGGGAGAACTGACTCTGGGTGGTGAACACACAATGTGATATATAGATGATGTATTTCAAAATCGTACACCTGAAACCTATGTAACTTTACTAACCAGTGTCACCGCAATAAACTTTAATTTAAACAAATAATAATGATGTGAAACTATGCTTTTAGAAATGACAACAGTGACCTAGAATGGGGGAAACTACAATAATAGTAGAAGAAAATGTACATAATATTATTTATGTAAAACTCCCATATCTATGTGTTCTTCTATCCACAGGAAAATATCAAGAAACATGTTCACCAAAATATAAATAAAGGTTTTCTCAGCATTTGGGAATGCTTTTTACAACAAGGTAAAACTGTGAAGATACTTTCATTTATGAAAGGGAGAAAGCAAAAATGTACAATAGCAAAGGTGAGAAGACAATTAGAAATGTTTCTGTGTTTTAGGTACATTCTTTCTTCTCTCTCTCTCTCTCTCTCTCTCTCTCTCTCTCTCTCTCTCTC